TTTTTTTTTAATCTTTTGGGCCTTTATAGTTAAAACAGAAACCTGCCTCTTGGTCATTTACTATCTATTTAAAATTGGTACAGCTGATTGGAATAAAATTAAAGGCAGCTCTGTGCACATCTCTAACAAGCTAATTGCATTTGCCTTTTGTATTCCTCTGCCTGCAATTCTTTATTATAAATTTATGTTTTACCTAGGGAAATGATAGGTAGCCAGGAGATAAAGAAAGCAATGAGAAATATAACTATTGAAAACTTGATCTTTTACATTAACATGAGCCCTAAGTAAAACTAAAACCTTTATTATAATGAAGAAAAAGGTTTTTGTCATGGTTATTGTAGTGATGATACTACTATATGCATATATCAAAATTCACTGAATTTTTGGTTAATTATATTTCTCAGGTTGAGTTCATTAAATTAAACCCATTACAGAAGTTGATTTATTTTTTTTATTGACATTGTTTTTGAATAGACTGCTTATAATATCAACAGTTGATCTCAGGAAAATAGGCTTAGTCACCAAGAGAGCTATTACTCAATATGACTAAGATGAAGCCTAAAATGAGACACATTTATTTTTAAAGGAAAGAGCACTGTCAAATAATAGTCTATACTTAACTCTCAAGAATATAATATGTAACATTTTTAAAATGACCCATAGAGGAGATTGTTACCATCTAGAACATAACATGAAGATATAGTACTGGCAAAAACTGGTGAGAGTTCAGTCATGTCCAGCATCTCTGTGATCATGGCAATTATAGTGTTATGTATTATGGGAAAATTAGAAAACAGTAACATTCTAACAGGAAGTAAACAACTTCATGTAGTTACTTTTGTTCTGAAGTGCTTACTATTTTAAAATATAACAGTATGTGGCCCTTCCTGGTGGTGCAGCTGGTTAAAGCACAGCACTGAGAATCTAAGGCCACTTCTGCATAAGTTCAATTCCCGCCTGCCCCGGAGGTGACCACATGGCGTGGCAGACCTCTCCTGACGCGCCCGCTGTCCCCTCAGCAGTGTACTTGGTTGATCTGCCTGTTCTGTTCCCCACTCTGTCTGGTGAAGCCTCTCACCGCCCCTGAGCCTCTGGCCTGTACCCCAGTTCTTTATGCACAAATAAATAAAAATAAATCTTTTATATATATATATGTAAAACAGTATGTGTACACACTGAGAGAAGGAATCTCAACACTGTCTTGCTTGTCCCTAGGAGGCTTAGAACAAAATACCTAAATGCTTGTGTTCTGCTTTTGTAATAGTTATTTGCTTAGATACAGAGACTCTAGTTTTTTCCTTTTTTAGCATTTTAATCCAACTATTGACATAAAACACAGAAATTCCTTTGAATTGAAGGAAATGTCTGTTGGGTTAGTAATGGTGATAGGTGTTGGGAATTTTTTTTTCCTGATTTTTCTCCACTTTTCTAAAATGTTTTAAGATTAGGTTGTAGAAGCTATAGAATTAAGATTTAGTAATTAACATCTATGAAATGTTCTTTTTAAAACCTTTCTTTATATAGGTGGTTTTGATGATAATTCTCCTCTGAGTTCAGTTGAGCGATACGACCCTCGGAGCAACAAGTGGGATTATGTAGCAGCTCTTACCACTCCCAGGGGTGGAGTGGGGATTGCCACGGTGATGGGCAAAATCTTCGCAGTTGGTGGTCATAATGGCAATGCATACTTAAATACAGTAGAAGCATTTGATCCAGTACTGAATAGGTAATTTTCTGTTTTCCCTTTGCCTTAATGGAATATTCCAGTAACCCATTACTTCAGAATGATGCTAAATGTAGTTGTTAATAAAAGCCTTTGGGATATTTTATCTCCCTCAGGAACCTTGCCATCTTTTAAAAACAGTGCCATCACATTCTTTCTCTTCTCTTTCCAGGTGGGAACTTGTTGGATCCGTGTCTCACTGTAGAGCTGGAGCAGGCGTAGCTGTGTGCGCCTGTTTAACTAGCCAAATTCGTGATGTAGGTCACGGACCCAATAATGTGGTTGATTGTATGTGATTTGAATTCCAGCCACCAACTATGATTTAGTCATAACTGAAGACAAGACAGACTTGTATGAACTTTATACGACTACCTTTAAACAGTTCTAATTACTACTAAGGTTTTGCTTAAATGTAAACTGTTGTAAGTGCAATTTCTACAGTGGTAGTTGAAAAATTATAAAGTTCCATTTGATACTTTCCATTTTAGCATATAACTGACCTAGGAAAGGAAGAGAGACTAACCTGAAACCATACTTACTCTGGAAAATTTTACAAGTAGCGCCAAATCCTTGTAGTCCCTATAACAAATTTTTAGATGGATCAAAATGTAAAGCCAAGTCACTTTGCTGAGTTTGCCTTTTTTTCTGCTTAAAGATGTTAACCTGTCAGATTTTTCATAGAGGGTGATTAGAACTTATTTGTCAATACAATCCTGGGACACATAAGAGACCTTTTAAAGATCATTTCTACTTGGTGCTGATGCATTTATACCTTGCTGTTTTTCTAGGTGTTGGTTTTTCAATTTCTTGGAGATTTACAAAGATAAAATAAATATTTCATCTTTCTGAGTACCAGTTAGCTGCATTTTTAGATTCTTGTAGGAGTGCTGTAAGAGAGCTTTAATTTCTTTTGAATTATTAGGACATAAAAAAACCTAGCTGAACTAATTCTGGATGACTTAATCTACACTTCTGTTTTTTCATCTCATGTACAAAAGATCTGTTTCATAGTAAGCAAAAATTGATTCAGAGGAGAAGGCTTTAGAGTTTGTGTTTCTCTGTGGTCCAGTGGGAAGACTTTGAGAAGAAAAGGTGCTGTGACTCTCTGATGAGGGGCTTCTGTAAACATGTCTGATCCGAAAAATGTCTTATTTAATCAGTTGAATTTGAACCAGAGATATATTTTTTTTAATTTTGCAGTTTGCCATCATCTTGGTTTTTCAAATTGTACAGAATCTGGACTATCAGAAAATAAATGCATTGGGAAAAAAACCCTTATAGACTGCAGTTTACCGACTAATCAAGTCTGTCAATACCAAAAAAGAAATTATTGATAAAAGTGTTATATATAATCCCCTCCATTATATTTCTTGAACTGTAATTGAATATATTTCAGCATATTAATTTGAGCCAGGATATTGATAGACCACTGATTTAACAGTTCTTCATAGTTTGAACCAGCATTAAAAATAACCTATTCATTTATGTGTATTTTTATATTTATTAAGACTATTAAAGCATTCTATTTTGTTTTTACAATGCATCTTGGTCCTTTTATTCCTTTTATTGCAGACCTTCCTAAATTTTCCTTTAGTCATGCCTTAGATTTAGTGCAGGTCAGGGCTGGTCAGAGCCATGTGGGTCACATAGGAGCCGGGGCAATGAAGACATTACCCCCCTCCATCCAGCCCTGAAGTTTATTACCTGGTAGCTGTGATGGGCCTCACCTCATGGCAGCTTGGGTTGTCAGTGCAGGAGGGAAGAAAGCGCCCTTATGAAACCCAGTGCCTATTTGGGTTTATGAGACCCAAAAGAAGAAAAAATTGTAAGAGGGCTCAGGCTAGCAGATAAAGGTTTTTCCTTCAGCAGATTTTAAAATTCCCCAATTATGCAATTTTTGTCATCAGCCTTTGGGCAAAGTAAGTTTCCTTGCTGAATCTGAGCCACTGTGACTATATTTTAGTCAATCCTAAACACATTTTATTCTACATCTCTCTCGACTGGTTACAGCTGGCTGAATGTGGAAAATAGGTCTCAAAATCTGACTTCAGTTGTCTATTTCTTATATTTAATGGAGTTCTTATTTTATAATGTTTGTCTTCCTATGGTCACTCTGTTTGAAGTATTTATTTTTGTAGAGGAGGGTATCTCGATCTTACTGTTTCTAATATTGTTTAAAATGTCTTTTTAAAAAACATAACTTTCTGCCTATGTAGAGCTAAGGAGCATAAAGACCTTTCGTTTCCATTTCTGATTTTTATTATTCAGTAGTTACCTAACAAACAGAGTTGGTACTTTCAGTACCCACAAAATGTGAACTCAAAAGGGAAGTAAAGAGAAGAGACCATGTGACTGTTTTTGTTAGTTGATGCACGGCCAGTCAGAAGCATAGTCTTTACTGACTGACCTGACATAGGTGTGGAAAAATAATAGTAGAATTAATATGCTTAGTTTCTTTAAAAAACATTCTTTGAGCTATGAAATGAGACTCATACTGAAGAAATCATGTTGGTGAGAGAGGGGACTTTTAGAGAAGATGGCCACTTAATTCTGAGGCCTGTCACTTTATCCCAGATGTTTAATAGCACCTACCAAAAAGTGATATAAAATAAAGCTAAATTTTTGAAGTTGTTAATAGAAAACAGAAAAAATTAAAATTTACTTATTGTAAATTCTAGGGAGAGATTTCTAGGGATTTGGTACGGTCCCTCCAAGTAGTTAATAGCCGCTGATTTCCTATATTGCACTGTCACTTTAAAATCAAATTGCTTGATTTTACTTTTGATTAATTTCAGTATATTTTGTGTAACTTTTTGTTTGAATAAACTTCATATTCCTAATGAGTATTATTTATTCTCTTATTCCTCAAATTGTCAGCTAACAATGCTGTTAAACATTTAGATAAAGAGATTGTTGAAACTGTATAAACTACTCTTAAAAATGTAAACTATTTTTTTTCTACGTCTTGTGGAGGATGTGTTTAGAATTGAATTCATGTCTTACAATTAAGAATGTTTTCTGTGGTTTTGCATATGAGACTTTTAAAGAAGTTACTACTGAGATGTCATGGACTCTTTTCCCCTTTATGTGGAATTACAAGTGGCAATAACTGTCCCTATTTTTCTTAAAATTGTATAAAAACTATATAAGTATATTGTAACACTCCAGCAAATTAATAAATTATCTCAAACACACCAAATACTGCAATAAGAGTTGGGTTCACATCAGTGGCATTTATTGATTTCAAAATATTTTGCAAGTATCTCTTATGAATAGGAAGTTCTCCCTAAGAGCTGTGTAACTCTGCTTCTTGTTGTTTTTGTATAATCCTGTCAAAACTTTGTCATTGTTCTCCAGGCCTCAAATGCAAAATTAGTAGATTGGCTGTCATATTTTTCTATAAAGGATCTTCACCTGTAACCAAAAATAAATTTTTGTGACCCTCACAGAAATTAAAGGTTAAAGGCAACTGATGTAGTTTCACTAATCATGGCAACCAATTAGGCAGTGTCTCTTTAGCAATTATGAATTTATGCTACATAGAACTGAGATTATTTATGCATTCAGAGATTATTTATGCACTCAGCTGAATGTTGTCCTTCTGAGTTAGAAACTTGATGAGGCTATCAGTTTTTCTTCAGTGTGACCATTACAAACTTAGATGAAGCTCCTCTTTAAAACATAGCCTGAAGATTCCACTTCTAAGTCATCCAAGAAAGTCTCATGGTAGTCACATTAATTTTGATAAGCTTAATTTATATGTCCCTGTATATTTTATTCATCAGACTTGATACACAATAATTTATGTTCACAAGTGAAATATACCCTAATGGTTTTCCTGCATTGGAAAATAGTTTTTTGAAAGAAAACAGTTTGAATAGAGCATCCCTAAAATGACCCAAGCTGTAGTAACAGTGAAAGAAATACATAGCTATTTTGAGGGAAAACCTGATCTGAATGCAAAAATTGTGGTGTTTTTGTTGTTTTGACTAGTCATTCTCCCATGGCTGTAGCTAAACTCAGTCTACTGCAACAATTATAAATACAAGGAGTTTCTTAAATTAGTGTGGGAGGGATTAATAATTAAGGGCTTTAAAAAAAATTATTCGTATAGAACTGGGGTACAGGCCAGAGGAGCAGAGGCATTGAGAAGACTCACCAGAGACAGGGTGGGAAGCAGAACAGGAAGACTGATGAAGTACACTGCAGAGGGGAGCAGTGGGTGGGTCAGGAGAGATCTGCCTGCCTTGTGGGTCACCTGTGGGGGGTGAGGGGGGTCAAAATGGCACTGAAGTGGCTGCCTGTAGCTAGCTTGCACTGCAGTGCTGCACTTTAATCCACTGTGCCACCAGGGAGGGCCAATAATTAGGGACTTTCAATGATAGTTTATAGTCACTATAGTATGTTAATATTACCAGTACTTCATTTTAAAATCAGGTTAAAAGATAGTAACTTGTCTAAGATCCACAGCTAATCAGTGTTTTTTGTGACTGAAATTTCATTGTTCGTCTATCAACATGTATCTGTTTTACAAGGAAGCATAATACATTTAAGGAAGGATGATTTTCTTGCTCCTATTCTTAGTGGTATTAAAAAATATTTGTCGGCCCTCCCTGGTGGCGCAGCGGGTTAAAGCACAGCACTAAGAAACCTAAGTCACTTCCACATGAGTTCGATCCCCGCCTGCCCCGGAGGTGACCACATGGCGTGGCAGACCTCTTCTGACCCGCCCGCTGCTCCCCTCAACAGTGTACTTCGTCGATCTGCCTGTTCTGCTCCCCACTCTGTCCCTGGTGAATCCTCTCACCCTCCGCATCTCTGGCCTGTACCCCAGTTCTGTATGAATAAATAAATAAATCTTTAAAAAAATATATTTGTCACCGTATGTCACTTTTAGGTTATTTTCCTTGAGTTAATTGACAGCAATTTCAATTGTACAACGTAGTGATTTGCTATATTGTGAGTTGACCACTGAATCTAATTAACTTCCAAGAAATGATCACAAGTTTTTCTTGCAGTGAAAACCTTTAAGATCTACACTTAGAAACTTGCAAAACAAACACAGTATTGTTAACTATAATCATGCTATACATTATATCACCAAGATTTGTTTTATAAAACTGGCAGTTTATACCTCATCCATTTCTCCTGCTCCCTACACCTACCTCTGCAATCACTGCTCTCTGTAAAATTTGATGCATGTATAAAGTATATGGAACATAGAAGAAACATACTCCTAAAACACCAATTTGCCACCTCCTAGCTAGGACATTGCACATAGTGGCATTAATTCTCACCTTTGTGTTTCTTCTAAATTCCAATCCCTAGTCTACTACTTCTAGTGGTAACTACTGCCCTGAATCTATTATTACTTTGGTATTTTCCATTTGTGTTTTCTTTTAAAGTCTTCACTTTAAAAAAAAAATTATTTATTTATGCACATAGAATTGGGGTACAGGCCAGAGGAACAGGGAGGGAGACAGCATTCACCAGAGACAGAGTGGGGAGCAGAACAGGCAGATTGGCTGAAATAACACTGGAGGGGAGCAGCAGGTGAGACAGGAGAGGCCCGCTGTGCCAAGCGGATTGAACTGCAGTGGCTGCAGATAGATTCACAGTGCTTCTCTTTAACCCCTTGAGCCACCAGAGAGGCCCTGCTTGTTTGTTCTCTTCCTGAGATTTTAAAACTCTCCCTTATTTTTATTTCAGCTTCGTATAATCTATTAGGCTATTTTGTTTTTAATTTCAATTATTATCTAACTCATTTTCAAAAAGCATATTTCATTATGTTTTAGATATGCTTGGTCATTTTGATGGATTTTTATGACTTAATTCTTTTCCTTGCTTTAGGCAATTTAAATCTTAGAGCCTATGAATATTCCTTGTGATGCCATTTTCCTGTGGTGGGTAATTTTATTTTATAAATACTCAGTTGATTTGTGGGAATTCAGACATTCTAATTGGACATGGACCTGGTTCTCCAGTTGGGAACTGCTCAGGGGACACTTTAGCTCTCCTCTGGCCCTTGGCCTAATGCAGCTCCACCCCTACTCGGGGCCCAAAGCTGTCTCCCATTCCCAGCAGTGACAATGCATCTGTCCTTACATCACCCTGACTTCTGTTTACTCACACTGCTACTCTGGTTCTGGTTTATATGTTGACTTTGCGGATTTCTCTGTTTTCCTAAAGCATGGTTATGACTGATCCATTAGTAATGGGAAAGCCTTCAGCTTAGTCTTTCCTTAATCCCACAGCGGAATGTCACGACCACATTCTAGAGCCGAAAAAATCAGTTTCATCTCAATAATCACTTGCATGTCACTTATGAAGTATTTGATTCTCTATAAAATTTGTTGAATGCTTTAGTAGGCCTTTACAAAATCAGCTTTTTGGCCCTATGTATTGTCATACCTGAGGGTTGGAATATAAAACTAGGACTTTGTAAAAGGATAATTCATGAAATGTAAAGCTACTCATTGATGTTGCCGTGACTTTGTGTCTCTTCACCCTGAATAGCTCAAGTATCAGTTATTTTATATACACCAGATCCTTTGGGCATTGATGTTATAAACCCCTTTATAAATAGGACTACTGATGTAGATTCAGAAAATAATTGCATTCTGTCTGAAACTTTGCAACCTCTTTAAAATTCTTTGGCCTTTGGCCAAAAGTAATAAAATTCTTACCCGACCATAAATTCCCTAACTTCCCCCTATTAGTCTAGAAACAATTAGTTTTTCCTGTCTGGAAACCAGTGCTCAGAAATGAGTGATACAGAGGCTATTTGGATTACATTCTAACACCATGCTCCAATTTTCCTTCTTTGTTTCATTTCTCAATACTTATTCTAATGCAGTACTAAATCAATGTGGGTTTTGGGGTCACCTTTACTATGGTATAAAGTTTTTACCTACCATTGTACAATCCGTGGTTTGGTAAATGGAGAGTGTGCCACTGTCACCATAATCCAGACATCATTTTCACTGCCCCCCGGCCCCCGGCCCCAAATTCTCACCCTTGCAGTCAGTCCCTGCTCCCTGCCTCTTCCTCAGGCTGTCTACAAGTGTGCCTTTTGAGTATCGCATATAAGTGAAATACCCGGGCCCTACCTGGTGGCACAATGGGTTAAAGCGCAGCACTACGAAGCTAGCAACAGCCGCTTCAGCAGGGCTTGGGTCCTGGGTCAGGGAGCTGACCCACAGGGCGTGGCAGACCTCTCCTGACTGCCCGCAGCTCCCCTCAGCAGTGTACTTCCTCTGTCTGCCTGTCCTGTTCTCCACTCTGTCTCTGGTGAATCCCCTCACCGCCCCTGCACCTCTGGCCTGTACCCCAGTTCTGTGTGTATAGATAAGTAAATCTTTAAAAGAGAAATAAAATACCCCACAGTCGGTTGCAGCTGCCTTCTGTCTCCCAACGCGAGGTGTGCCTGTTCCATAGTAGCATTTGTATTGCTGAATTGTATTCTATCTTACATTATCCCCCCACTTGTCCAGCCACTGACCAGTTGGTCATTTGGATTATTTCCACTTTTGCATTATTACTGTCATGAACATTAATGTGAGCGTGTGTTTTCCCTTTATCTTGGGTAAACTCAGACCAGCGGGATCGTTGGTTTTTAACTTTGTAAGAAGCGACCAAGATGCTAGCCACTGTAGCGGACTGTATTACCTTCCTATCTGCACAGCCTGGGGTTTCTGGGTCTCTCGATCCTCTCTAACAGTCTCTAATGTCCATTTCTCTTATTATAGCCATTCTACTGCCCGTGAAGTGGCATCTCAGTGTGGTTAAAGCAATATATTTTCTGCAGTATTTTTTTCTAAATGAGATGGTTGCCCTCTAGTGGTACATCGTGCACATTACACTCAAAGACGCATTAATGAGAAGCCTGAAGCCTAAAGCTAAAACCTGTTAAAATTTCCATTCATGTTGTGCCTACATTGTTGAGAATATTGAGATCCAGGTTCAAAATGTTTTCCTCATTATCACTAATAATAGTCCTCAGGAGATGGCTGGTTGTTTTTTTATTTCTACTTACCCCCAGGAGGTGCATTATAGTCAAAATTAAGCTTGTGTGCTTCACCTAATTTACGTACTAAAATTTTTGGTATTAGGGTTTACCTGTGGAGTGGCTACAAAGAAGGGGAGGGAAAGGCCACAGACAGTTTTGTTGACTCAAGCCCTCCACATCCTTGCAAACCAGAGTCAAGAAATAAATAACTCTTATAAGTGGGAAGAATATAAATTTAATGAATTGCACCAAATGGAATGTCTGGTGGCTCCTTGGTATTTTCAGGTAACACTTTGTAAATATGCCTATGGGGAGCTGTAAATTTTTAGGAGAATGGGTCTCAGCTGCCCGCAGGCTCCTGTCACTCTGTTGCAGGGAGAAAGCAACATGCACATAAAAATTGGGA